TATTATACCTGTTTTTAAAAAGCAGACAGACTGGGAAAAAGAGATCGAAAAACCACAATCACAGCGGCAGTCCCACAGAAATACGAGTTACACACAGCTCACCGATTTGAATTGCTAGAAATGCACCTGTACATAGGGAATATGTATTCTTTTTCCTCTGTAAATGAAATATTTATAAAATTTTACTGTTAAAGTTTTAAGTAATGCGTTTATGTGTTATTTTACAAGTGCATATAGTGAAGTCTCCCACCTCTTTTTTAAACATGTCGTTCACCCTTGAGTGAATTTCTGTTTATTTCACCATTCTATGCACACACGCAACTTCCTGTAGATCACTTCTTATCTACCACAGTAACAAAGTAATGTTAATTAGTATTTCTACTTTTTTCTAAACCATATAAATGTTCTACAATGACTCCCATTCTCACTCCTACCATTGAACACGTTGCTACAGAGACTTTACCTCTGCCTTCAAGGTAATCGCTGTTATAATTATTTTATAATCATTATTTTATTCATTCAGATTTAGTTGAGATTTTCATGCATCTCCTTTTTTCTGGATTAAGCTGAATTCTTTGTTTCCTAGTTTCTTTTCTTTTCACTCCTCCTTTTTTTTTTTTTTTTTTTTTTTTTTTGGTACTGGGAATCGAACTCAGGACCTTGTGCTTGCCAAGCAGGTGCTTATGCCACGGAGCTAAATTCCCAGCCCTTCACGCCTCTTTCTATCCCTCTCCCTCTCCTTTTCTTTTTTGCTGGTGATTGAGCTTGGCCTCATGCTAAGCACATTTTCTACCACTAAGCTATACACTGTGCCCCAAATTTATTTTTTTAAGTATATTTCTTAAAGAAATCTTTCAGCCAAAAAATTCGAAAGTCTTCGGTTTTCTGAACATATCTTCACTTCATCTTCTTTCTTGATGGGAAATTTAATTCTGTATAATATCCTAGAATTGCTTTACTTTCCTAGTGTGCTGACAGTGTTATTCCAATGTAGATGGCTTGCAATTTTGTAGAAGTCCCTCTCCATTTATTTAAATCTTTAATTTGTTAGCATCTGTTCGTATTGAATTGTTCTTCAAAGAACTATTAAAATCCTAACTTCTAGTATCTCAGGACCTGACTGTATTTGTAAACTGAAACCAGGTGAAAATGAGGTTCTTAGGTAGGCCCCGACCCCCTGTGACCGGTGCTACAGAGAGAGGATGAGTGGAACAGAGACAGCACAGAGGGAAGGGGCGCTAATGCAGACGGGGACAGGACAGCCACCAGCCGGAGTGCACCTGCAAGGAAGCAGCGCCAGCAACTGCTGGAAGACACCGGGCACCTGCGGGATAAGGAGTCCATCCTGGTGCCACCAGAAAGAGCGTGGCCCTGCGGACGCCTTGGGTTTGGACTTCTGTTTCTTAGAACTACAAGACAATAACTTTCTATGGTTCAGGGTACCCAGTTTTGATACTTTGTTACATCATCCTGGGGAACTAATACAGCAAGGTTTTGTGGTCTTGGCTGAACATGTGTTCCACTTGTTTTGTTAGATGTATACACGAGGGGCTGGGGATTTAGCTCAGCGGCAAAGCGCCTGCCTGGCAAGCGCAAGGTTGTGAGTTCGGTTCCCGGTACCGGAGAAAAACCAAAAAAAAAAAAAAGAAAAGAAGAAAAAAAAAAGATGTATACACGAATATTTCATGATTTGGATATTCTTGTAAATGATACTAGTTTTGAAATTAATTTGCCAATTGTTCATTGATACTTTCTAAGAGATAGCTCACTTTTGTATTAACTATATGTCTTGCGGACTTGCTAAATTCCTGTATTAGTCATCATGAGCTTTTTGTAGCTTCTTTAGGAATTTGAATTTACATGATCACATTACTTCCTGGTCTGAAACGTGTACACCACTCATTTCTTTTCCTTTCCTTGCTTTTGTTCTGGCTGGAACATGCAGTACAGTGTCGAACAGAACACTCATACCTGTAGTAAACCTCTCGTACTCGTTCACTTGTGTCAGGGGAGAGCATTCAATGTTCCATCATTAAGTGTGGTGCTAACCACGGAAGTTCTGTAGACGCCCTTTATCAGTTTGAGGAAGCTCCCTTCTTGGTATTCTGCTAAGACATTTACCATGAATGTGGGTTACTCTTTTAAAATAGTTTATTTACCTCTGTTGAAACACTAGTTTTCAACTTGTATTTACTAAATGAAATAACTTCAGTGTACATAAACCTTCGAAATTGTAGGATGCCAAGGATAAAACCAAGTACAGGAAATTTTAGTGACCAAAATTAGAACTTTTATAGAACTGAAACCCAAATGGGCTAAACAGCTGTCCACAGGGCTAGTAAAACAATGCTATAAAACATCCTAGTTCTTCCTATGTTAATGTTTTGTTTCAGTGCAGTTCAAGTGAGAAATCAAAATAGGATGTTTTTGTGCAGTCTAACAACCTGAATCCAAAATTTATATGGAAAAGCTAAAGGGCAAGATCAAAAATGCAAATATAACAATAGTGCGTATAGATTTGTTTTTCAATAAATGACTCTGTAGTAATAAAGCCAGTGAGTTATTGGTTTGTGGATAGACAGCCTGTGCAAAGGGGAAGGTAGAAAACCAGAAAGGTCTTCGCACACAGGATACACTTATTTATAGTAAAGATACTGTGACAGGTTATTGGTAAATACTCTGATGGAGAAAGAAAGAAAAAGAAAGAAAGAAAGAAAAAGAAAGAAAGAAGAAAGAAAGAAAAGTTGAAATGTGTTGTCCATATGGAAAAAATAAAATTACATCCATATTTTACACTACATAGAAGCTCAATTCAAGATGTAGAGGATATAATTACAAAAAGCAAACTTTTCAGAAGAAAATAGAGGAGACAACTCTTTTCTAATGTGGAAAGATTTCTTAAGACACTGAAAATACTGAGTTTTTAGTTTTAAATTTAGTTTTAAATACTGAGTTCAGTAGATGAATATAGGCATTAAATCTCAGAACTTGGATTCATCAAATTATCAAAGGGCAAGATCATATAGAGACTACAAAACTGCAATATATTTAAATTTTGTAGGGTTAAAATCAAAACAGACCTAGAGACAGAGGGAGGGAAGTGGGTAGGAAAGGGGAATGAAAAGAATCAAGATGTATTGAGGACATATATGTACTCCCTGAGGTGAATGTAAACATTATGTTTGTAAACTAATGAAAACATTCTTAAAATTTCAGTCTACAACCTGCAGAGTTTGAGAAGAAGCAGTTTTTATAAATCTTGTATGCTACCCTACCACACACACGCATACTTGGGACAGCTCACAAAGACTGACAATATGAACTTTGTTTTTTTCTCCTGTTATATTTGATCTGATGTTGGACTAATGTGAAAAGCATGTAATTGGTATGTTTTGTTATGTACCTGCCACAGTAATCATTGCCCTCATCCTTGAGTATTTACAGAATGAAAACTTGCTGTAACTCGATAGCAAACCTTTTCTGGAATCTTCCCTCCACAGTCCCATCTGTGTGATTCCAAGGCCCTTTAGAATGTATGTCCTAATTTTGTACATCCTTTTCTGACTGGTCTGTTGGGAATTTGTCAGATTGTTCTAGCTTCAAAATTAATCGAGGCTATTAGAGCCCCTGAGTCATTTGTGTCTAAAGCTCTATAACATCAGGATACATAAGGAAAATTATAGTGGGGTTTCTTTTGTTGGGTCTACAGGATTAAAAATACAAGGGTGTCTTTTTCCTAATCAGTAAAAGAAGACAATGAGTCCATAGTTCCTGGCAACAGAGACCTTTGCTATCCTAAAAGGGCAAGGATTAAAGCAAACAAATAAGAGGAAAAAAGTTACAGAGTTATTTCTAAGGGTAGATTGTAAATGTTGGAGGGTATTCTTAGAATATTGGATAATCTTTGCTTTAAATATGTTATACAATATGAACTGTCCATGTTCTTATAAGCCATAAATGAAAGCATTTATTCTGGTGCCACTTGTTTTCATCTGTTAAAAGAATAATGTTTAGTAGAAGAAAGATAAAACAAGCCATGTTAGAAATAGCAACTCTGTCTTCCTTCATCCTTAAATATTTTCTGGTACCAAGAAAGGAAAAAGTGCCTTAATAAAAGATTTTACTGTGTAAGATATATTAAGTCCTGAGGCACATATGGAGGAAAAAGATGCAAAACCCCTCGGATAACACCTTTGTCGCCATACTTGATGTATTTCAAATAAAGTGTGTAATCACAATTTGCTTTAATTATCAATGCCTTGATTTTATTTCTGTCATTCTAGGATTAACTTTTAAAATGATGTTAGTGATTTGTTTTATAAGGGAAAATGCACACATACTGTTCTTAAATAATAATATTAGTGATCTTAGAGTGTTTCTTAGGAAACAGCACAATTCACAATTTAATGAAAGAATTTTATGCATTATTTATTTCTTCTGAAAGCAGTTGAGGTATAGCTAAAATAAAGAGTTAAAAAAATTAAGAACCCTTAAATGAATTTGTTTTTCTCAGTTCTACTTATGCTCCATGAAAACGATGAAAAAGTAATTGGATACATTGAATTTCTTTACCATACATATTAGGAAAACACACATTAGTGGTTTTGAAAACAATTCCTTGTGTTTTGAAGTCTGCCTAGTTTTGAGTGCCTTTGTCCAAGAGCGTCTCATACTAACTTACCTATTTTCCAATAATTTTATTGATCAGCATCACACAATTTACATAATTGCTTCTTATTTTTCTAGATTTAAGCCACTTAGATTTTGTCCTACACATGTCTAGGATAATTCTTGTTCGTTAACTCCTTATCACCCATAACCTCACGTCACGTAATGTGTGTGAAAGTAAGTGCTGGTGGACTCATAATGACTTTATTTCTCTCTATATTTTCATTCTGAAGTGTCATTTAAAATCCTTTCATTTATTTTTCAGGTTGTGGAGGGTTTTTTACTTCTTAATCAACTAGTAGTTACAGTTATTCCTATTATTTCCTTTACAGGGTCCAAAAGAATAAGTGATAGTGAAATCTCAGACTATGACTGTGATGATGGAATTGGTGTAGTATCGGGTAAGCACTTTAGAATTGCTTTATGGTATTGAAAAGGAGAGGACAGATCTTTTGCGCACGGGAACGTGACCGAGAGAGGGGGCGGAAGGGTGGGGAAGCAGGGATAGGGGATGCAAAAAGAGTTTACATGTGTTTTGCACCTGTATTGGCTTCTACAAGAATGCAAGCGCTGTGCACTGCAAACATGTACTGATTGAAACTTTAAAAGTGAGAAATTAATCATTATTTACCAGAGAGAGAGAGAGAGAGAGAACTTCTATATCTCCCGAAACAAAATTTGGCAACTTTGGCAGTTTAAAGTCCTGAACAAGAGAATTAGATTGGGTATTCTTGAAAGCTGCCAAACAAGTAAATTATTTATAGGTTTTATATTTAAAACAACTAAATATGGACTTTACAATAAATTGGAGGATTTATTACACAATTGAAAATTCTTTATGATGCGCTATTATTATGAAAAAGATGAAATCTTTTTGACTGTACCAACGTACTTGAAAATGTCCTTTTCACTATTTTTATATTAAGCATTATGTGTAGCTATATATTGAAATGATACTAGTGTAATTCAGTACTAGTGTGTTATAATAGCATAATAGTGTAACAGTGCAACTATTGCCTCATTTTATGTTTGGACGTTTACTCAATGATTTGATATTTAGGTAAGTAGATATGCTCTCTATTAATTCTGACAAATATATACATATATGATATCTTTGATATTGTAACTGTTCTATTCTTCTTGAAGTTTAAATAACCTAACAAATTTTATGATTATGACTAATTTTATTCTGTGCAAAATATGATCTGTCATACATAGTATATACTACACTTTCATTATAACTATGCAGTATTTATATGATAAGTTTGTTAGAGTATGGATCAATTAGCATGCCTGTATCAGTGTACTACTTTTATAATACTGTTGTTTTGCCTGTTATAAAACTAAACGTGAATAATATTTTATTAAGACTGCAGAAGTACTTTCCATGTTTTATGTTTTATAGATTAAACCTCAATAAAGTGGTTTTGAAGAAATTTCTCATTTCTATTGTGGAGATCATTAAAATTTTTTGTATTTATATGCTATTCCTTTTTTGACTATTTTATTTTTGCTCTACTCTAAATATCTTTTCACATCATATTTTTTTTAATCAAAAATATTTCTCTTCAGGCCCATAAAGCCTAATTTTATTTATTTTGGATATAAACCTTGAAATGGGGTAGCCAGATCCCGTGATAAATCTATTTTTAGTTATTTGATGAACCTCCATACTATTCTTATCTAATATCCAGAATATATAAAGAACTCAAAAAACTTAATGACAAACATATGTAATCCAGTTTAAAAATAGAGAAGTACTCTGAATAGATATTTCTCAGAAGAAGAAATACAAATGACTGACATCAAATACAAATGCTTGGTATCATTCACTCTCAGGGAAATCTAAATTAAAATATTAGTGAAATAGTATCTTAGCCCCGTTAGAATGGCTGAATCAAAAAGACAGAAACAATTGCTGACAAGGATGTGGAGAGAAAGGAAGTTTTATACATTGCTGATGGGAAGTCTTTAGACAGACGTCTTTTACCTGTGTCTTACAGCTTGCTAGCTCATTTCTTTTTAGCCCTGAATAATATTCCATTGTCTAGATATGTCAGTGTTTGGAATCAGTTCACCTGCTGGACTACATCTTGGTTACTTGCGTCTTTTGGATACTGACTAAAGCTGCTATAAACATTTATACGCAACTTTTCATGAAGACATAGGTTCTCATGGCCTTAGGTAAACAGCAAGGAGCATGATTGCTAGATTGTGTGAAGAGAGTACTTCTAGCTTTTCAAACACCTGCACACCACCTACCTGATTTTACACACTCACTGGAAGCAAGTGCGAGTTCCTGATGTGAGGGAGTTCCTGTTGTTCTCCATCCTTGCTGAACTTCGCTGTTGTCAGTGTTCTGAAACAGATGTGCAGTGGTACATCAGTGGCGTTTTAATTCGACTTTTTCTGGTGACATGTGAGGCTGACATCTTTTCATGTTTCTTTGCTGTCTGTGTTTCCTCTTTATTAAGATGTCCTTTAAAATCTTAACTCATTTTAAAAATTTTGAATTTTAAGAGTTCTACATATATATTGAATAATAATCCTTCTTTAGGTATGTCCTTTGCAAATATCTTTTCTTAGTCTGTGACTTGTCTTTCTCTTGACATCATCTTTTGAGGAGTAGAAGTTTTTCATTTTACTCAAACCCAGCTTATGAATTTTTTTGTAAGTTTTGCCTTCACTGTTGTACTACTTAAAAGTTATCACTTGCACCCAAGGGCTTCTAGGTTTTCCTCTGTGTGATCTTCTAGATTTATAGTTTTGTATTTTAAATTTGTATCTATGATGCATTTTGAGTTAATTTTTGTGAGGTATGGGTTTAAATTCTTTTTTTATGCATGTAAATGTCAAGTTGTTTCAACATGGTTTGTTGCATTTAGCTGCATTTTGTCTTTGCTTCTTTGTCATAGGTCACCTGACTATCTTGATGGGTGTTATTTCTGAGCTGTTTATTCTGTTCCATTGATTAATCTATTCTTCATCTCTAATACCATGATATTCTCATTATTGTAGACTTATAGGAAGTTTTGGAAGGGCTGATAGGCATTTCTCCAACTTTGTAAGGGAAGGAGGCAGGGAGAGGAGAGAGAGAGAGAGAGACAGAGAGAGACAGAGAGAGAACAAGCTTCATTCTGACCATTATATTGTATGCAGGCTACCCACCCTAGGGCAGGTGTAGCACTCACACCCATAGTCCCAGCACTGAGGTATGAATCACTCACAAACTCTAGATTCAGCCACCTCTGAAAAGTCCACTCCACCATAACAATGGTGATGGTTATAGTATCACTTCCTGCTAGGCAACGTTCAATTTCTCTGCACCACATGCTTCACGTATAGATATATACATGTTGGGCCAAACTTACTTTTCCTGTTTATGTCCCCACACTGCTCCACAGGGAACTGCTGTTTTTCTTTCTTTCTTTCTTTTTTGTCTTTTTTGAGACAGGGTTTCACTATGCAGTTCAGGCTGGCCTTAAGCTCACTTCGTAGCCCAGGCTGGCCTCGAACTCACAGCGATCCTCCTGTCTCAGTCACCCGAGTGCTGGGATTACAGGCGTGCACCACCACGCCCGGCTGAACTGCTGTTTTTCTATCAGGCTTGAATTCTGTTTTCTTCTCAGTCTTTTCAGGTATAAGTTGCTTTCTAGTACTCATTTGAGTTGTGTTTTTTGTACATGTGTTGAAGTACTTCAAATGGTAGATTATTTCCTAATATGGTCCATCTCTTAAGGAAATAACTATAGCTTTCTAGAACTTTTTTGCAAACAATAATTTTAAAAATTAGTAATTGTTGAGAAGTATTTAAAACTTCTAGGTCATGTAGACATGAAAATGTTTTTAGTATAAATGAGTTAATATTGAAGATAATTGTATATACTTTTTCTTTCTATGTAAGAAACTTAATGCATGTGTAAGTATGCATAAAAATTATACTGTATTTAACAGTGCCAGCAACATAGTAACTCCAAATTTGAATATTTGGCATTCCTCTTCATGTATGTGTTTATAAAATATTTTTAATATTATGCTTTATCTATTGTAATCTGTACTTAAAATGTTCAAAGTCCTTCAGCTTCACCAATATTTAATGTTTTTGAATAAAGTACAAAATACACAAAAGGCTTAGTATATAGCTAATTGTTAATCTTTCCACCTTTAGATTATCGACACAATGGTCGAGATCTGCAGAGCTCAACATTATCAGTGCCAGAACAAGTAATGTCATCCAACCATTGCTCACCATCAGGGTCTCCTCATCGAGTAGATGTTATAGGAAGGACAAGATCATGGTCACCCAGCGTGCCCCCTCCACAGAGGTAAAGTGGCGTATACCTTTTATTTGTAGCATGGCACCACAGGTATACTTGTCTTAAAGTATCATAAACTTATGCAAAAAGTTATTTAAGAGAATCAAAATGGTATTCAATAACCTATATAATGAGGAAACAAAGAAATATAGGTTACTTTGAAATTTTGGATGATTTATATATTACTGTATTGAAAGAAATTAAAATGATTAAGAAGAACCATTTTAGTCACATATCACATTAAGCAGATGTATTAAGTCCAACTTTGTATACTAATTAATGATATAGATGTGGGTACTTTGAAAAATAGGAAAAACAGACATCTGCTTGTCCTCTAGAAATAGGAGCAATCATCAGAAGAATTAAAAATAATGCATGTGTGGTGGGAAGAGCGGCTTAGCAAATCTGTAGCACCAGGGCTTATATTAGCAGAGGGTCCCAGTTAGTCTAGTTAAGTACAGAAGGATTAATGGAGCAAGGACCGTGGGAATAAGTAAGGCTGGCAAGAAATATGCACAATTCACATTTTATGTATTTATAATGTTGAAGAAAGCGATTCATTAGATTAACAGCCTTATAACTCATTTTAATTAATGAAATAATTTTAGACTTAATTTTAATTGAATATTAATTTTACACAAATTTGACTAGGAGAATGTTAGATTTATTGTCTTTATAAATTTTACTTATTTAATTTACAAGAATATCGACCACCAAAATGGGCTTACTTAATTTAGATAATTACAAAACTTATGAAGTGTACTATATTAAGTTTATAGATATAGTTTATAATGTTTGAATTAAATATATTGGTAAGTGGGACTATAATTATTAAATTTTTTCTGAAAAGTAATTGCTTAAATGTAGGTTCATTGAGAGAATGGTATCTGTATTCTGATATTTAAAGTTTAAGAGAGAACTTTGAATTTATAATTTAAAAAATAATTGCATCTCCTTAAGAACAGAATAAAGGGTACATGTGAAGAGTTCCCCTTTCTGCACTCAATGCAGAACCCTCCGTGACCAGGTGTGTGTTTCTCTCCTCGTATCAGGCAGTTTGCAGAGATGAGACATCACCTGAGTGTCGCATAATTCAGTTCCGTTCCACTGTCTCCTGGAGCTAGCATCAGGTGGCACGAGCTTGGCTGCACCACAGAGCCCCGAGGCAAGTGCCAGGCAGTGTCTGTCCTGCACTGACCAAGCAGCTGTAAATAGTTCTCACAGCCCCTTCCTTGGGTCCGATCATTTGCGAGCATGGTCGCACAGTTTAGCACTTGTACAGTGGCTTATATTCAGTGGTCTCGTACGGATATTATAAGAAGTGCAGACGAATAGCCAGGAGTAAAAAGGACAAGGCAAATGTGCGCTCTAGAGGGGGCTCCTGTGCCCTGTGGGCGTGCTGCACTCCCGGCACCTCTGTGTGTTCTGCAGCGGGAGCTTAGCAGACCTTGTTCAGGAGGAGAGTGGGCAGAGTGAGCGCTCCAGCACCCACATCCTGGAGTGACTTGTTTTCTCTGGTCACTGGTCTCATCCTAAGGCTATCTAGGGTGCTACCAAACAAACCTCATTACCATAGTCTGAGAAGTTATCAAAGGGGTTCAGCATGAAAAACAGAAGACAGTGCAACCAGAAAATTTCCAGGGTTTTAGGAACTCTATGTCAGGAGCCAGGGACAAAAACTAAATAAAATTCACATTATATCATAGCTTTACTTGTACCAAAGCAAGAAAGTTTGACCCATCTAATAGAACATAGTCACAGGTTCTAGGTCGGATTCAGCTGCATATAAGACAAACTCCATCATTACAAAAGTTAGGCTTAAAAAGTTTATTCTAGCATGAAAAATAAATGTGTGAGTGTGCAATCCAGTGAAGGATGGTAGCTAAAATAATTATTGATCAATTACAGAAGCCTCATTTAGATTTTAAAATAAAGTCATAGTCATCATCCCTAAAGTATGATCCACCAGTATGTTATACGTAGGTAGTATATTGAAACTGAAAACACAGTATGAAAACAACAGCATTAAAAGCATAATCAGCACATGGAAACCAAAAGAAACTGGAATCCCAGTTTTGGTTTTAAAAGTTTGAGTGTCAGAAGTGCTATAAAAACAACATGTATTGTGGGAAAAACCCCGAACTACGAAGCCAAAGGTCCCACAGTCACTGCCCATTTGAGTGGCAGAGCGCGCACTTTACACAAAGGCTGGGGCACACGGGCCAAACTGCACGCTGTGCTTTCGTCACCGTGCCCTCCGAAGCTCAGCTCGCCGGAGGCGACACTTTCTCAGGTTCGTCTTAGAGTGCTCTGAAGACTAACGGAAAGACTGGGCATATGATCGCGCACAGATGTGTTCCTTACAAATAAACAGCTTTAAGATGTAGAAAAAAGCAGCCGCCATTGTTAGAAAAATAAGTACACGATGGTAGCTGGAGATCTTAGCAGATCTCAACAGAAGTCAGTAGCTAAACCAGACCCCCCATAGCAATGGCTTAGAAGATTTAAATAGTATATGTGTTCGCTCAAACTTACTGTGTGAAGTAAATCTATATTCTGTCTATGTCTTTTGTGTAACATTTCATATTATCCAAGCAAAGACTACAAAGTATCTTTTAAGAAAAAACATTTTAAGAATTGGTGAAAAAGAAAACCTCAATAAATCTTATATAAACCAGTTTCTTTGAATATTATGCACTATATTTATAAACCTATAAAAGATGTTTTTTAAATTCCTGGAACTTTCTAAGACACTGCTAAATAATTTGGTTGTAGATTAAATAACGAGGAGGAAGTTGTGACATATTAGAATTGAATGATAGTGAAAATCCTGTTAAACATTTGTGGGACACAAATAATATATAGAAAAATTTCACCTTAAGAAAAAGAAATTTGGCTGGGTGTGGTGGTACACATCTGTAATCCCAGCACTCAGGAGGCTGAGGCAGGAGGCTTGCTGTGAATTCAAGGCCAGCCTGGGCTACAAAGTGAGTGCAAGGCCAGCCTGAACTGCGTAGTGAAACCCTGTCTCAAAAAGACAAAAAGAAAAAGAAAAGAAATTTATTAGAAAATAGAAAGATTGGACATGGTGAAATGAGATGATTTTATATCTGATGTGGAGAAAAGTGAGCCTTATACTCTACTGGTGACAGTCCATATTAGTAGAATCATTTATGAGCTTTGAGATTTCTCAAAATATTAAAAATAGAACTATCATATAATCCTACAATAATACATTGCACATATATTCAAAGGATATGAAATTAGTATATTGATGATATCTACAATGATCATAGTAGCATTCATAACAACAGCTAAAGTAGGGAATACCCTAAGTGTCTATCAGTGGACGAGTGACGCACATATAGAAAATGTGGTGGATATAATTAGGAGAATAGTGCTCACCCCTAAAATAGAAGGAAGCCTTGTTCCTTGGTGTGTGTGACAGTATGGACGAACATGAGAGGTGTTATGTGAGATAAACCAGACATACACAGACGAACACTCTGTGGCCTCATGTACGTTTGGAATCTACAAAGAGTTTGTGTCACGGAAGTGAGTAAAATGGTGGGAGGTGGGGACTAGGGAGACGTTGGCCAAAGGACGCAAAATTTCCGTTTGGCCAGAGTGAACAGTTTAGACATCTATAGTGCAGCAACCGTAGTTAACAATGCCTTATACACTGGAAGATTCCTAAGAGATAGGTTGCATGCGTTTTCACCATACAGCTGGTGTGTAAGGCAGTAATGTCCCTGTTAGGTAGCTTCATTGAGCCATTATACAGCATGCACACTTACTGTACCCCGTAGCTGCATAATTTTTACAAGTCAATTAAAAGCAAGCAGATCAAACCAAGTAAGCAATAAGCACTGGATGTGGGACAGTGAGTGCAGAACAGCACAGGGGATCCCTGAAACAGGAGGAGCGAGTGCGGGTGTGGGCAGAGTCACCGAACGGAGACAGAATGGAGCGGACAGTGAGAGGAGAGCCATGGACAGACGAGGGAGCGTGCACGTGGACCGTGGAGCTCGCTCTCTGAGAAGGAGGCCTGCGTGACAAATGGGTGACAAACAGTCTGTAAAAGGGGCAAGTACAAAGGAAAATAGGCTTTAAAACTGAATGATGATAGCATGCCGTTATATCTGGCAAACTAGAAGAAATATTTAAATTTCTGACAGAAAATAAGGAATTGGAACAAGAGGAAAGAGAACAGCTAGAAAAGCTAACCACTCAGCAGCGTATTGAAATGGCACGCGAAGAGAATCCGCTCTTTCCTTTCCCACTCAAAAGCCCAGAGTAAGCAGGTTTTGTAGGTAGTTTTTCACCACGTTGCTGAGAACTTATCTCTCCGTTATGTACAACTGACTGTGGAAACTAACAAGAAAGAAAGCTGTGTAGCTGTTTTCCTGGAGCCAGTGTAAACCTGCCTCGGATCCTCCAGTGCAAGAAAAGTTTACAAGCACATTTTAACTGCAGACAAATGTAAAAATATTATATTGACCAACTAATCTAACCATGAATTAAAGGCATGATAGACATCACAAAATTTGCTATGGCAGTTCATCACATGAATGGACCAGTGGGGAAATAAATCTCATTACAGACAGAAAAATAATTTTATTTTCAATTCTTCACAACAGAAAAGAAAAAACTAGAAGAAAACAACCAACAACACACAAAAACGCTTTAAAAAAAAAACAATACAGAAAGAAAAAACTGCCTAGGCATTTGCATTGACTAAATAATGTCATAAATAATATAGCACATCCACTCCTGAAAAATACTATAAAACAAGAAGAAATAAGAGGTGGAAGAATTGGAAAAGAAGAAATAAAAACCACCATTACTTGTTAAAAATGGATTTGTCTACACTGAAAGTAGCATAATCAGAATATTTAAACTAATGTGGGAGTTCTACCAAATAGTTTGCCATAAAACACCTTACAAAAATGAGTAATAACTGATTAGGAAATGTAATGAGATTCTCAAAGCACAATTCTCAAAGGCAGCACAAAGTGTGTATTAATTCATCTAACAATTAAGAAGAACTTCTTAGAAGAATGTAGAACTTTAGATAAAGTAGTGCATCTTATGAGTAGAGTGGCTTCAATTCTGCATAAATTAATCAATAATGCCATCCTAATCAGAATCATATGTGTAATTTTTGAAATTTGACATCATTTTAGAATTTATGTGAAAGGCCAAAGATGAACAAATTATCAAATTAAAAAGAAGTGAAATTTACTACGAGCCCATGCATAGTAATAGACATACCAAATATAATCGTGCAATATATGTATATGTATACATGATTTATAGATATTTTATGTTAACTTGATATATGTTAATAAAGGTGGCACTACTAATTAATATGGAAAGTGGGTTGGAAAAGGTAGGAAACCAACTCATCTGTAGAATAAAACTAAATGCTAGACGCTCGTCTTTCTTTCTGTAACGGGAGATGCATGGTCTTAGTTATGTTTCAGAGGGCTGCTGTGTGCCACCTACCCAGAGCGCTGGGTAAGGTGGAGGAGAGAATGCTGAGGTGCTGTCGCAGGCAGTGCGTGAAGATGAGAGTTTGGCCTGCGGTGTTAGCGAGGGGTGTGGTTAGAAGTGAGGGGTTCCAGCTGCTCTCCTGAGCGCTGAAGTCTTGTCCGGCCACACACACAGTGTCTCTGGCTCGACTCTTGCAGACCATGTCAACAAACATGTGACGCTAACCTTGTTTTCTCAAAGACATCTACTCCTCCTCTTGCGTATAACTGAGTTTCATTTCTAGAGACCTGGGCGTCCCATTCCCACTGATACTGGGTTCATTTGGGCTCTTTTCAAGTTGTGTTTCTTTTATAGCAGCAAGCTCCTTCATTAACTGTCACTTCCCAACTGATATTTATACTGTTAGCCAGGGTTTAAATAGAGAAAAACATTGGACTTGCATTAAATTGACTTTATTTCTATTTTTATTAAAGAACTTCATTTGTTGGCGTAGTGTTTGTTTATGGCTTACTGTGATACTGAACGTGTCTGCTGTTTTAGTCGGAATGTGGAACAGGGGCTGCGAGGGACACGCACGACTCCTGGACATTACAACACGATTAGCCGAATGGACAGACATCGGGTCGTGGATGATCATTACTCTCCAGAGAGAGACAGGTAAGTACGACTCCGTACTGTTAGGCTGTATCAGACGCGTACAGGGGTTGTCGTGAAGTGCTCTCACCTACTTCATTTTAGTTTCTAGGACCGCGCTTCCTTTACCACGGCCACACTCTGCGCCATGACTGCTGCACTGCTAACATAGAAGCGCACGCACAACAGAAACAAAGCCGTTCTGCATTTGCAGTTTGGTCTTTTGTTAAATAAAATTAAACTTTGCACAAGAGATCATAATAATAATCATCCCAATAGCAAGATGCTCTATCATTTTACCTTGTCACAATTATTTTATATAAATCTACTTTCATTATACAATAGATTTTAAAGTCTTTTATGTACATCAGAGAAATCAATGTGACTGTTTATATATAGAAGTACTGAGACAGAATTTGGTTTGTTTAGGAAACATTTTATCATGATTCATGACTTTCGGTAAACCCTTTAATCATCTTAAAGAGTCATGCTTGCTGATTGCTGTGTTTGAAAGACTTGTCTGAATTTCCCCCATTAAATGTGACAAACTTGGAGGTAACATGGTATGTTACAATGCTTACATGAATTATTACCAATTTTAAAAGTTAATAAAATTAATTAACTCTCCAGCTCATGCTTTGGTCATATATTAAAAATGCTGTGATATTTTCCCCAAACTATCAAAAAAATTTGAGACTCGATGAAGAGAGCTGAGTTTATTATTTTGAAAATAATAAAACAAGGGAAATCAGATGTTCTTTTGTATGTCTCTTACACTAATTTGTGAAGAACATTGGGACTTTAAAGTCTACTTTAATGATATGAGAAATTACTTTCTATATATATAAATGTATTTGTTTTGTCTGTGTCTAAATTAATACTCAATTCATGCTTATAATTTCACTGTGCTTTACTACACATTTCCAAAAGAAAAGGAGTATCTTAGATCTCAGTGGTATCACACAAATGCTGGCTCTTATGTCTGAGATTTAAGCAGAAATGAAGAAGTTATTAAATTAGTATTATTTTTAAAAATTTTCTTGACCTGTTCTTAGTTGTCTATTCCTTTAGACCTGATTCATGCATAGATACGCTACCTGTAGAGAGTGATGCTATGCAGATAAGAAAACTGAAAGGCAGATTCATGTGCTGGCGTGCTTAACAGTGGGAGAGTCTTACCAGGGCAGGGTCATAGGTGCTTTGATTACCTAAGCAATTTTGACAAGCTTAGCAACTTCTGGAAATTATTTACATAGCAAGTCATAAGCTTGTTCACTGAAAATTTGTTAATGGGAGGGATAACAGAGAAAAGTCTGAAATGGAAAATATATGGAAAATGTTCTATTAATGAAAAATAGACCCCCTTTTCAATGAAGACAAGTAAATGTGACCAGAATATTAGAAAAGAGTGGAAGACAACAGTGGATGCCATTACCTTCAGTGCTGGGTTGGTCAGTATTTAAAACAAGTGGTCCTGGGCTTAGTGACAACAGGATGACCGACATTTGCTCTGAAAGCCTAGGCAGTGGACGCAAGCCTTTGCAGCGTTCAGCGGTGCAGACATCTGGCTCCCGCACTCACGCCTGCGTTTGCCACCACTGCCGTGGGCCATTTGTCCTTGATGTATTATAGTCGTGGCAGAGACCGCCTGGGTGTCATTTTTATACCTGTTCCAGCTCACACCTGTAATTGAAATACCATTGTATTTTCTGTTTTACTTTGTAACTTTGTGCATCTTTTAGTTTTGAAAAAATTTTATATGATTTTCTGTAGAAGTTTTGGAGAAAATTTATTCATGCTGTTTCATGACGATTTTTAGTTTGTGGTAGATCGCTAGATCACAATTATTTTTAAATGGGATCTGTCTGAGATCCTTTCTGAAACAAGTAAAATAGAATTTCATTTACATAGACGTGAAATAACCATTTTGCTAGCGTTATTTTTTGGATTATCTATGTAGCCATTATTCATTAAAATAAGGACTCAAAAATCAGAATATTGTGTCCAATAATGTATGCAGTCTATCACATTATGAAATGGTCCTTCCTTTCTGCTTTAGCCTAATATTACGAAGGACTTTCAATAATTAAATACATTTGAAGGCATTATCATTTTCATGGAGTATTTAGAGGGCAGGAATACTCTAGCTTTATTACCTGAATTTTCTTGAGTAGCATTTTACAGAGTTAGTCAATAACACCATTGCTTAAAAAGCCTAAGGGAGAATTTCTTTGAGATAGTACATTTTAGGTATTGTGAGAGAGGCATTAACTTTTCTTGTCGGTAAGAATTGATGCACTGGATTAGAATAGTATTTTATTAATGTACTCTTTTTCATAGGATTTGGAACAAATACCTTTGGATTCAAATTTAGAATTTTACATCTTGCTAAGGATGTGTCTTAGGGAAAATTAATGTCTTTGATGGTTGATTTGCTTATTTATAGAATTAAAGTACAAATACCAACCTTATAGAGTTGTCTAAATTAACTGGTATTTCCAGTGTAATTTTTATATTTCCTGTCAGACTGTCAGTATCAAAATATACAATACATATCCATAATTATTTCATCCAAATTTCATGATATGTACTAAAAAATTGTGCCTACCCCTTAGCATTTGAAAAGAATCTTTTAGCTCCCAAGTAATTTACAGTTAATTGCTTAATAATTAAGCAAAAACAACAACACAGAAAACAGTTGATTCCAATATTTCTTTCAAAGTTTTGTTGAGAATGTAAGCTCTGAGCCAGATTTTGAGAAACCAGCGTCTTTGTTTAGGGTAGAACAGGAGCAAAAGATAGAGGCAGGACCCACCCACGCACCACGGGGGCCCAGGGGAAGGAGAGGGGTTTGTGGCACATGTCCGGAAGGGGTGTGTGCGGGCAGTGGCTTCTCCACTGACTGCAGTGGGTGAGAGACCGTGCTGTTCAGCATTAATTTATAGTGCATGGTTAAGCGTAAGTGGTATAAAGAGCAAACAGAGTGTGCAGATCCTTTTTTACAGGTAATAGAAGACAATTATCTATTAAATATTTGATTGGAACTTTTCTTTGCATATCTTTGTCATTGCTACTTATAATTTTACTCTGTTTTGAAAAGTAAAGGGGTTCCTTACAAGGCACATCCACAGTGCATGAGTATTAATTAAAATCATAGTTTATAAAGAACATCTTTCATCTTCCACTACCTCTCCCCACTAGTTCTATCAGTTTTTCTCTAGTAACTACTACAACCAGGAATATACTTTTCCTGGGGGCACATTATATAGCTATAGTATTATATCATTTAAAAAGGGTTTTTGGGGGGTCTGTGTGAGCTAATTTACTGTTAGGATATATATTATAGTTTTAGATACTATTTGTGTCACGTATCAGAATTCTGTACCCTGTAGCCTGATTTTTAGGTCTATTACAGAGGCCAAAGTATGTTAGCTACTTTTCTATTCTTTAATTATGCTTTTCGCATTATAAGGAAAATATATATATATATATATATATATATATATATATATATATATATATATATGTCTGTGGTGGCACTGGGGATTGAACCACTGAGCTGCTTCCCTGGCCCTTTTCCGTTGTCATTCTTAGACAGGATCATGTAAGTCATTAACTTGCCCAAGCTGAATTTTAACTTGCGTCTGTGCCCTAGAGTGCTGAGACTGTGATTGTGTCACCACGCATGGCGAGGAGATTTGCATTCTAAAAAGGAAAACACCTTACTGTGGTCTCAAAAGTAAAATGCTTTATTATCTAGTATAATTTTTATGTTCTATATCAGGAAGCCAATTATAAAAAATATAGCACATGCTCACAAAAAACAAGAATCTCTGTGGTCCTTTTAGTTATCCACTATGAGGGAAGCACGTGTTTGAAAGTTTAAAATGATAAAGAAAGTAAATAAAAAAACACTTTCTGTATCTTCATAGATTATATGTTACATTTCGGGAATATATTTTAAGACAAGTTAAATAATACCGGTTCCTCCCAGTGAACTGCGGGTACTGCAAAGCAGGCCAAATGTTAATAATGGTAGAGACAGAGCAAAGTATTTTGCATTAAATTGGATTGTGGCAGACAGCTTTCTGTATCTGTAGGTTTATTTAGATGTAGGATATTTTATCTCTTCCTTTTATTGTACTTTTTCTGTATCTGGTGGTTTCTAAAAGGGGAAAGACAGACTAATTTAATATAGCAGAAAGATGGTTCATTGCAATAATGAACAATGAATAATTTTGTGTTGTCCTAGATGTTATTTTAAGAATCAAAGTGCATCTAGAAATTGTATTAGTAATCCAGTTCTTTGAATAGCATTTGTATCATAGTTCTCAGAATCTGCAACTTCTTCACTTTTGCTTTTTAAAATTTAGTGAACTTAATTTTCTGTTTTTCATTTAAATGAATTACTACCTTCTTCAAGCTTTTAAAAAATTATCAGATTGCTCTAACTTCAAAGTTTAGTAAGGGTAACTTTATTTAGTTTAACCCATTTGGCATATTTGATTCATTATGTGTATTTATTGCTCAGGTTTTATGAAGTGCTTGCTAAATTCAGTTTTGGAAGAAAAGGAAACCTGGTTTAATGGAGACATGTAAAACGTGTTTAAATTACAGGTAGATGCAGCGAAGGGCCAAATATGTTACAGACCTTAGATGGATTTTAGAAGGTTTATCAGTACCGAGGTGCGAAGTCTGTATGATGTGCGAGCATTTTTGGTAGCTTTCTCAGAGGAGGCCATGTCCAGGTACGGTTAAGAACTCACATGACTGGAGATAGAAAAGAGAAATAAAGCAAGTTCATGTTGGATGAAGGTGATTCTAACTTAATGTTTCTTTGGCTTTATAAGGACAAAATTAATAATTAAAGTACTTCAAGGAAAATATTAAAAACTGAGTGGTGGTACAGTACATATTCTATGACTTTACAGATCTTTATAAGCTTTGGAGTTTGCACTTTTTCTCTTACACTTCAGATGCTTGTAAACAGTTTTCCTTTTTAAAGCAGTGCATTCCGTTATAGCTGTCAGCTGTTATTTCTATTCTTTTGCTTTTTTGATACTTGTTTTTGCACTCTACATAAACCTGAGGCTCTCTGTTTACATTCCTAGAATATTTCTATGATTATGTGAGCCAGTACTTACTTTGGAGAGCAGGTTCATCATAAATACGGTGTAAGGCCCGGCATGGTGGCACACGCCTGTAATCCCAGCACTTGGGAGGCTGAGGCAGAAAGATTGCTTTGAGTTCAAGGTCAGTCTGGGCTACATAGTGAGTTCAAGGCCAGCCTGGACTACAGAGTGAGACCCTGTCTCAAAATAAAAGTATAATTTTGCTTTTACTTTTTAGTTTACTACAAATATATTTTGAAAGTATCAGCCATTTTGCCCTGAAATTTTAAAAAGACATTCTCTTGTTCTAGAAATTGTCATACATTGACTATTTACAAATTGTACAAGACTGTGAGGCCAAAGCATAATATTATTGGAACAGAAAGAAAATTACCTGCTTGAGTCTCTAGGAAAATGCTTCCAAAAGAAGGGACTAGAATGAGTAGGATTTTCAAGTAAGAATAGTAGAGCTTACCTCAGAGAGTTGTTAGGTGAAGTAAATAATGTGTGACATAGACAAAGCTTTCAGTGGAGTGCTTGACATAATTGTTATATATGTACTTTGTTTAATACCCAGAAGCAGTAGTGTCTAAAGCCAAGGGAGGAAAATGTTAGAAAACTGGGTTTGGAAAACCAAGGTCTGATTCCATAGGTGGGTCTAGTTTGATGACCAGCGGAGGCAAGAGGGTCGTTGAGGGTTGCACAGGTAATGTGTGGAGAGCTCCAAGAGAGCAGGGGAGGTGGGAGTCCTGTGCGTGCAACCGGAAGCATTGAGGGAGACCTGGAGATCTGTCTTCTACGCTGTTCTGTGATGAAGAGAAATGAGAAAGGTGCGCGTCTACAGAAGGAGCCAAGGTTAGCAAAGGCTGCCTGTGTGGGCCGGCGTGCAGACGAGAAAGGAAAGGCAGAAGAGAATAATACATAAAGCAAGGTCATGTGCGAAGCAGTGCTTCTTTGGGTGCAGAAGACAAGAACAAGTGAAGATTTAAGTGTACAGAGGTGGAGTTCCGGGAGTTAGGAGAGCTGAGTGCTTGCTTCCCTTATTTACTGGGACACAACCATCATCTGCAGTGACTAAGTGCTTTGGCATTAAAGGTTTTAAGAAAGTAGAAAGAGCTCAGTTAGTGCCTCGGAATGAAGAGAATCGGCTTCAGATGGGTGAAGGGTCAGGCTGCTGGACTGCTTACGGCAATCTTGGGACATGAAGCATAGCGGAGCCGACGATGTGAATTAAGTACATAGTAAACAAGCAATAGGGTGAACAGCCAATAAATTCAACAAACACGCAGTAATTAAGTGAAAGTAATCAAATCAGGTTGTTTTTATTACTAAGTAGAATTTTTAGAGCCCCTTGTAGTTATTTTTAATTATAGATGGTTGAGGAGAAACAATGACCTCATAAAATCTCCTAAGTTTTGTAGGTATTACCTTTTTTATTGTTTCTTTACATTATGGTTATTTTTATTATTTTTCTCTTTTCACCTTTCCTCCTAAAAAGTAAGAAAGCATCCCTGTAGTATAACATTTTCTACATAGTGCTGAAGATATTTGAATGATAATTGATAACATTTTAAATATGGTTTTTGCATACTCTGAGTATATTTTTGCTACATTTGACTTTAGAGTACTTAGTCTGTTTTAACCTGTGGCCTGCAGTGTAACAGTTGAGTGGGGGGACAAGCTTTCGAGGAGCAGTTTTCATTTGCTTTGCTTACTATCTGCTTACCTTTTTGAGTCTCACTTTTAAAACTGAACTGTCCCTTTTTCACTGCTTTCCTGAGTCTCATTTCTGTTCTTGTTTTTGCCACGTTTACAGTCATTTTCCTACTCTACCTCGCTCCAGATACAGTCAGAGCAGTGAGCACCACCGCAGGTACACCTTCCTTACAGTGGAGTCTGTGTGTAGAACTGCATGTTCCTGTCCGTTGGTGTGACATAGTTCACTTTCAGTTCTGTGTTTTGTATAGCTACATGTGGTTTTTAATGAAATATAGAAACATTATATTTATCAAAATTGTGAAAGAAAAATATATATAAACTAACTGTAATTGAATGTAAAAAATACACCTTGGTGCATTAGAAGCATCTTTTTGAATATTTTAAAACTTGTGTTCAGTAGGAATTACAGTTTTGTCTGTTGTCTACAAAGACACAATCACTGTATTGTGTTTGCATTGATCACATTCAACTGCTCACCTTCCTTGGCAGAGTCCCTAAGTAGATGTTAGTCAGCGTGGCTGATTTGTACACACGGTCTTAGCAACCCGTTTTCTTACCTGTGTGCTCCGGACTGGAGGATTCTGCCTTTGCAATGTTCAGGTTAAACTGATTTGTCTGCAGTTATCTTGTCACAGGTAACTCACTGATCTGCTCCTTTGCCATAGCAGAGAAGCGTGAATCTGTGAAGCGTACTGGATGTATAAGAAAACTTTTGTTCGTTTGTACCTGGCGCTATCTCTATTTCCACAGGGGGAGTTTCCAGTGAGTCCTATGTAGTCCAGTTCTATAGTACTTTAAAGAAATGCAATTTATGTCAGAGGGAAACGTCAATTATCTGGCATTTAAGAGGAAAGAACATAACTAGAAATTGAAGGGAAAGAAGTTTGATAAAGTTTATGTAATTCTCAAGGCTACAGGTAGCTTTAGAGATCTGAGCCAATTCGTTAGGAACACTTTGAGGTCCTTTAGGCAAAGAAGAGAGTGATCCTGACAGTGTGGTAGTGGGGTGGATGAGGATAGTGAGGAATTATGTGCCGTGATTAGTCACCCTAGCTGTTGTTTCAGCGTGATCTGGGTTATATGCGACTGTTCTTGTCCCTATTAATGTGAGTTAAGAGTTGATAATAGTTTTGTAAAAATAATGAAAGCTAATGAGTAAACTCCAAGTGTTTGAATTCACGTGGGTAAATATGCAAGTACACATGAGAAGATCAAAAGTAAATTCCTAATATTTCAAATTTTCTGATGTCTTTCAGTAAATGTAGTAGACATTTACTGCCTCGCAATTTAGTTATATAGTATTGGTTATTGATACTTTTAATTTTCTGTTGCATTTTCTCAGTCTCTCTTGTGTTATTTTTCTTTAATACTAAATAATTGTTACATTTTGCTGTTCTGTCTTTTATTATTACTGCTGCTGAATAATACATTCTGCCTCATTTTTTGTTGTAATGATCATTTATGTTACAGTCTAAAAAGTAGTTATATACTTGTATCTGGATACTTGGCCAAGGCTTTTCTTAAGGTGGGTCCATGCATGAATGACACGTTTCTGGTTCTAGGCTTTTTCCTGTTTACTCTGTCATCTGTTCTTTTCATTCTAAATTAAAGCCATGGACCACAGTGTTTACACTTTGTATTCGTCTTAGTCTCAGTTACCTATAAGTAGATCATTTGCCTCATGGTGTCTTTGCAGCTCAGTTGTGTAGACAGAGTTGTTTCATCAGCTCTAGGTTGATTATTACCTTCCTAGACTTTCCCAAGTTCTTGAGTTAGGCTTAACTGCCTGTTTTGAAGGGCACATGTATCAGTTATCTTTCTGTGCCATGATTTTATTTGTGGTCGGGAAACTCAAGATCATTATTGTTTATATTAAATTTGTTTTAGAAAATGTTATCTGTGTCTGACTATAAGGCTTATGTGTTATATGCGCATACCTATCTTATATGCATTGAGTTGTGTGCATTGGTCTCAGGCAGTAGAAACTCATGAGGACTTGAACTCACTTTGTAGCCCAGGTTGGCCTCAAGCTCATAGTATCCTCCTGCCTCAGCCTCCCAAGAGCTGGGATTACAAGTGCATGCCACCATGCCTGGCTCCTGACATACTACTTTTTTTCTTATTTTTTTTATTTTAAAGAAAGTAGTAATGAGAAACACACAAAAATTTTTTTTGTCATACTGCTTTGATACATACGAAAGAATGTGTATAAATTTCAAATTACAGTAATGAATTAAATGCCCATGAACCTTCTACCCAAACTAAGGACCAAATCATCTGGTTTCCGCCGTGAACTCCCTGTGTCACCCTTGCCTATTGAAGACTGTGCCTCTTCTATAGAAATAATGTATGTGAACTGGATTTTTCAGCTTGCTGTTTCTCTTCTTTGCTTTTCTAAAAGCTACTTTGAGCATTTATTTTTGGCTTACTTGCTTTCTAAATTATTCCTCCCTCCAACCTCCATACTAGTCTACTGTGAGATTCTTGGACTTTTTCTTTCCCTGAAACATCTGTCGAAGACATAAGATCATATATAGTCACCTGTGCATCCTCCTTTATTCATTTCCATAATGTCCTATTCTTGTATCTGTACCTCCTGTGTCTTTGTGTGTAATACAGGTAAGCACATTTCTTGACTTCTTGTTAATGCTGCTTTATTCACTGATGGTTTTGCACTTGGCTTTGGCCTGCATCACAATTCCTGCCGTTACCCTGAGCAATGTAGGCATTTCTCTATAGGATCAGTCTGCAACCACTCATTTTCTTAACTATTTCAAATATAGTGAGTGCTGTCCCGAATTCTATTTCAGTCAGTAGCTCCTCTGTCCCATCACTTGAAATTGTTCTGCTTTTGCTATCTTAATTCAAATATTCCTCTACTCTTGGATTTAAGAGCCGCATGCCTCTTTCTTACTCTTTCATGGAGTTATTTCTACTTCATTTGTCTTTTATATCAGTAGAGAACTCTGCTCTCTTCAGCTCTTTATCATCTCATTAGTCACCTTCTCTTTACCTACTTACACACCCAGAAAATGGATTCATTCTCAGGAATAACCTCAGTGCTTTCAGTGCCTTGTTTGTACTCGAAAAATTCAAATGTAGATAAGTCTCTTTCTCTTGCAGAATAACTTTTGAACTAAAATATTCCAGTTCTTCCTAATTCACCAATTTGAGTCAAAATAACTGAACACTTAAAGGGAAAAATGACCTTTTTATTGAGGAGTTTGAATGAAGAAAGTGGCTCTGATCTCTCAGGGTGTGGTTTTCCTGCCTAGGTTTCAAAGTAACATAGGCTCTCACCTGGAAATTCTCCTTCTGAGAATAAATACATTGTTAATATCTCCAAGAGCACTGTAGTGTGGCTGTATAACATTTGGAAATCTCTGAGTGGAATGAGTGTAGTAAACTCAATTTGACGTTCTCAGTTCCTGAGCATCATGGGAATTCAGGTTTCCATTGGTCTGTATTCTGTAAGATTATAACATGAAGAATTATGAGTCTGGCTCTTTAGAACAGAACTGTTGAAGCATAAATAGTGTTTTCTAAACTTTGTATATTACTTCAAGAGAAGAATGTTGACTAAGCATCAGAACGAACACTTTTTCTTATCTTCTCTCCAGATTATGTCAACCACACAGTTAGCTTTGATTCATTGCATTCATTATAAAACAAAAACATTTTAACCAACGTGTACTTGTTGTTAATTAATACTTTTTAAAATATGCTCTTTGTTTTAATAAATATGCCTTCATAGTTTAAAATATACTCGTGTGCCCTACTTGTCTTCCTGATGTTTATCTCTATTTACAGCTGTGCCCAACATTTTAAGGGAGGAACAACATTTGCTGCCACTGATGGTTGGCAGTTGGCGGTGTGTGGAAGGTCTCACCGAGAGACAGCAATCCTGCTGGGTCCCCAGATAGGGACAGGAGCTGCATAAATTCATGTGGAGGGAGGTGGGGTGTCAGTGGCACTTAAAAAACATGCACGAGCAAAGTCACAGAAGGAATCAATGTCCTAGTTTAAATCTTTCAGAGCATTACCCGCAAGATAGAGAATAGTATGGAAAGAATCTGGAATGATAGAGTCCTGATTAGGAGGAGACTTGTGTGTTTCTTAGGGAATTTAGGTACCACTGGTACTTTTAAGGGTTTTAATTATAGGATGACTGTAATACATTTAGTCACTGAATGTCCACTATAGAAAGTAGCTGGATCCACTATAGAAATTTTGACTGGAAGAGGAAAAGTATGAAAAGAAAAGCAGGTGCTAAGGTTGTAGATGGAAAGATAAAGAACAGATGGAAGATGTAGTAAAGGAAAATCAATAATACCAGGTAAGTAACAGGGTTTGGATGTTGAGGGAGAGCACAGAGTGAAGAAGAATGTCCAGTGTGACCGGGTGGCCGCTGCGCACACATGGCCCTTAACAAGCGCTGGGGACTTGATGGAGGAGCCGGCCATGGGGGAGGCGAGGCAACGCTGAGCGCGGAGTGCAGTGAGCCGCTTTGAAATTTACCGAGGGCCTAAGCCGCTGGAGCAGGGCAGAAGCACGTGGAAGCAGCTTGGGAAAGCGCCCTGAGGGAAGGCCGAGGGGTTTGCTCGCCTCTGTCTTGGAGGACGTCACAGTGAATTGGCAAACTGAGGCAGGAGGGCTACTGAAGCTCATAAAGAAAGAAAGTGAGAAAAGCGAGACTAGAGCTAAAGAGACAGAGAGTGTTAAGGAATAAATAAGGTCAGCAGTAATAATAACAAACTAAAACTGACTGATAGATTTTCAAAGTGGGGGTTTCAGAAGGAGGTGAGGCACGGGGTGGGGAAAGCAGATTATGATAAACCTGAGCTTGGCTGGGGGATAAGACAGTGAAGGAGCTCCCTGGCAGAAAGCTTGCCTGGCACACATGAGGAGCTGGGTTCCATCCCAGGACTGAAAGAAGAAGTCTCCTGACAGTGTGGAGGAGAAATGGAGGTAGGGTATGTGCTGTCAGAGGGTGTCTGTGGCTTTTGGCGTAGGGAGCTTTGTGTGCCCATGCTTTGTCAACTGACGCAGAAGAGGTGTAGGGGAGGTAAAATGAAAACACAGAAAAGGGGATGCCTAGAGCAGGGGCCTTAGAGGACAGAAGGATGGGCTAGGCTAAACGCACATGGATTTGTGAACAGACAAAACTGTTATCACTGACCCAGGAAGAAGACAGGTAGAGGACGAGCAACTGAGAGGAGTTAATGGAGAGAAAACACATGGTGAAGCGAACTGGTGTTATACTTCTGATGGATTTTTGAGTAGGAAGTCTTGGATTAGAAGATAGTCTGAGCTCTGCCTGCTAGTGTTTGAGATGATCAGTCAGAAAGTTGGTGGTGGATAAAGAAGGAAGAAAGGAAGGACAGTGGCAAGAATGGTGAGACCAGAGAACACAAAGTGTCAAATGAGATAAGTAAACTGGGCATGTGCTATGGCTGTGTCTGGACGTCTCCCCAGAGCCTCATGCAGTGATGGGGGGTGCTTTGTCAAAGGTGGCTGGATCTAGAGTGTGTGATGTTGGGATTAAGGGTGTGATGCTAAGATTAAGGGTGTGTGATTACTACATCAGTCCACTGAGTGGTTTGGCGTAGTTCTGAGTGTGGATAACAGAAAGGGCCGCCCTGGTGTGGGTGCTTCCTGCCCCAAGGATGTGTAGCCTGGGTAGAATATAAGGGACAGGAAGAGGGCTGCTGGTCACTGCTTGTGGGTCGCTGCTTGCTGCTTTGCTGCTTCCTGCCTTCCACACCAGGAACTGTGTTTTAATTCCCTGTGATATCCATCTGCCTTGTCACCCTCCCTTGGAGCCAGATGATTGTGGACTGAAACCTGTGCAAACTATGAGCCAAAATAAACCTTTCCTCCTTTAACTTTGTGTGTCAGGTATTTTGTCTCAGCAACAAGGAATCTGAGACAATGTAGATTATGAGACATTTGACAGAAATTAAAGATTGAAATCAAATTTGAAGTATTAGAGTTTAGGGTTTCTAAGTCTGTCATTCAGTTGGATTCTAGGATCCATAATATTCTCCCCAAAGTAGTGGACTGACGCAGAAAAAAAGGTGACACTCCTTGAATTTATGACAGTGTAAGGGCCTGGGGGACGATTTTGGGGGACAGTTTTGTACATATGTATAAATAACGTCTCCTGTCCTCACCTTAGGAGTTAGGAAGAAGAAGCTTGTGGACAGGCAAGTCCCAAATCACCCGTGACTGGGGGAGAGTGATTGGAAGTCGGGTAGTCTGTCAGCAATCTGAATGAATAATGGATTTCATGTCAAGTACTGTCCGAGAGGAGAAAGGACGGTGCACGCTACGCAGGACAGCACAGGTCAGATGTGTCTCTCAGGAGCTCTTGTCCTCTCCTGCATCCTCGATTTGTGAAGCTTGAAAGAATGTGCGGCTTCTGCAGCTCGGGTTACAGTAGGAAAGTCTGCGCTGAGAGCACAGTGCTTCTCAGGGGACTGTGCTCAGGGAGCTCCGCAGGAGCAGGGATGCGAGGGACGCTTGTTACAGTGGAACAAGGATTCTGGAAACTTTGGCAGAAAATTAGAGGGAAGTAACAGTGAGAGCAGAGTACAGGAGACAGAGTTTAAGGAGCGGATAGTATGGATAGTGGGGCTTGCCTCTGACTTGACAGACAAGAATTCTGTAGAGATGCTTGAGTGTAAGCGATTCACCGCAGCGTATCCTAAGTTTATCTGGAGTTGTCTTGGTGCCGGAACTGGACGCAGGTCCCAGGAAGGGTCTGACCAGGCGTAGAATCGTGCAGAGGGTTGCAGTGGGGTTTGAAGAGAGGCCACGGTGGTCATATCTCAAGGTATGCGGGGCCACAACCAAGGACCCTGAGTAGAGAAAGGGTTCCACCGGAAGCTGGTGCAGTCATGGTGACGATTAATTGCCATGTAGGACGGAGGTTGCTTTCTGGCGGATGGCTTCCTGTGAAGGAGGACAGAGAGCCCTTAATAAATGCAGTCAAAGCCAATAACCTACACTTCCCCAGCTATCTTTTTTAAATCTTAAATTTGCTGCATTACCAGACTTCTCACAGCTGTTTTCTTCTCCTAACCTAATTTCTGTTTTTGTCTCTACTTTCTCTTCTCTGAGAAGTTCCTGCATTAATTTCTTATTTCTGTTGTATTCCAGTCTCCCTCCTTTATTGATTTTTTCTCTGTGCATTACTGTTGAAGTCTTCTGAGTAAATTCTTCCTATCCTGCCACCTCTTCAAGGTGTAAGAACGGTCTGCTTCATATTCATATTCTCTCTCTCATCAGTTGTCCTGACTTTGTATTTTTACATATGCTTTTCTCTGTTACATCATTTTCTAAGCCTAAACCCTCTGCAGTTTGACCTTTGCCTCTAGCACTACACTAAGATTATTTTCTCCATGGTTATTATTTGTTAAATCTTTTATGCATATTTATCTTTATCCTCCTTCTTCCTTTTTTGTGGTATCTGCCACTAATTTCCTTTCTCAGCTTTTTTGTTGTTGTTGCTGGAAGACAACTAACTTTATTATGCCAGCGGGTGGATGGGGGATCGCTACCAGAGCATCAGCTCAGAGCCGGCTTTGGGCTTGCTTTATACTGGTTTACAAGCGGGAGATACAAAGGCTGGTGAATTTGTATTGGGTAGCATCAGTTATCCTTCCTCTTTTTCAGCTTCTTTAATGCAGTATTCTCTTAGTTTTTATTCTAGCCTGTGACTACCCTTTTGTCTCTTTAACCTCTACTATTTTCCATGTCTTCACCTTTGGGACATATATTTTCTTATATCCTGTTGCGCCTGTGACTTTGACTAAAACTTCTAGTTGTTAGTGTAGTACCAGGCATATCATGTGATCTCAGCACCATATGTACTGAAAGAATGAATGACAATGTTAAAGTATCACTGCTAAACAGTGACTTACCAAATTGCATCTTTCTTGAATGACTGATTTCTCCATCTGATAGGTATTTGCATAAAAATATTCTTCCAACACTTCACAAATTTAATTCCCAATGTGAATTCATTATTTTCCCTCCAAGAATACTTCTATATCTGTTAATAATTTATTTCATTTCTGAGGCTGGAAATTGAAAAGTTTCTTTTTGATTCTGGAGTCTTTTTGGCCTATGCATATCTACATGTAATATGGTAATTTGTGAAACATTACTAAGAAGAAAATGCCATTCCTACTACCAAGATTTATAGTTCAATGAAGTTAATGAGCTATATAATCAAGAAAGCCAAGTTCAGTTTGCAGCTCAGAAAATAGAAAATTAGTTGAATTTGTGTGAGTTTCCATAAACTTTAGTTTGCTCAATCTTAAAATGAGAGAGCTTGGATTATGTGGGCTCTGAGTTCCTGTGTCTCTAACATCTGTTCGCTTACTGCTGTGTGGGGGGCGTGCTCTGCACAGAGAATCCTATGAATATTGTATAGCATGATTTTCAGTGTTTTGTCCTGCATCCCTTCTTCTCTATTTCCTCTTGTGTTACTGTAAGTCAGTCTTTTTCTAGACTAATTCATTCTGTGTAATACTGCTGAATTAATTTCTTAAAATTTGAAAATTATATTTGTTCAGAAACTTTATTATTCTTATTGAAAACTAAGTGCCGTTTAAACATCCAAACCAGGTATTTATCATCTTCACCAACTAACTCTGAGCTGACTTTCTAGCATTTTGCCGTATGGCTTGTTATTCCCAGCCTTACTAGTCGGGGCTTTGTCCTCATTACACGTGCTGAGGTGTCTGTACCTGCCCATGGGCGCCATCCACCTTTTCTACTACAGTTCCTAGCATGCGGAACACACTTGGCATGAACTTTTATTTGATAGCTCCAATGTCTGTAACACCTCTAATCAGATACTACCTGCTACTTAACAGAGGCCTTAATTTTTTTTGATTTCCAATAATTTTGTATTGCTTTTTGGATATCATGTCATGCACAGTGACTGAGGCAGTGGCATTTAAGCTTGAAAATGAGCGCATCTTTTTGCTTAAGCAGATGTGTGTGTGTGTGTGTGTGTGTGTGTGTGTCTGATGTTGTTACACAGTCTTCTGGCTGAGTATTGATGTGGGGTGGCAGATGCTGCCAAATACCCTAGGCAGGGGCCTATGTGAGAGATTTGCATTACACCCACTCTACCACCCATATAAAGATTCAGAAGAAAAATTGGTGAAGTTTTTCAAAGTTGACCTATGAAATTGTTGAAGACAGCATTTGTATTATTTGAGTGTGAGCACCATACTTCATTGCATAGTTTCATAGAGTGATAATTCATATTTCTGTATACTTACAGGTATTTAAAATGTTTGTTCTTTATGGAACCTTTAAAGATCTAGAAAAGATTAATGTAGGGCCAATAGTTTGGTAGAATAAATTATATTTTTATGAAAACAAAGCATTACACTCTAGTAGTCACTTAAAATAGAAACTCAGTTATAAATTACAAATTTTATAGTAAGAAGGTGGCAATTGCATTACCTCTCATGATTTTTAAAATTTATATATTAAAAACCTGTTAATTTACTGCATGGTACTTGTGCTGGGTAAATAATACTAATTCTATTTTTTCTGCTATTTTTGAAATAAAAATGAAATAACCACAAAAATCATAAAGAGTTCAGTACCCAAAATGTCCTCAGAATACTTACACCTTATATATTATGTGCTCATATTTAATAATATATCTTCATTGTTCACTATGGTATTTATCACTACTTTTCTGGAAGAAAGTGATATATCTCATCTTGTGATTTCATCTAATAACTTTCTAAAAATACCTCTATAAGTGTGAGAACACTGTTTTTCCTGATAAAATGCACTTGTCTGTGGTAGTCATATCTTTTCCTACATTAACAGTTTCTCTTAGCAATGTCATTGTCACATTTTCATTATTTTTAACTTGGATAACTATATATTGTTATTTTTCTGTAGGCTAATTTATTTTTAAGTGATACAGTCTTTATTTTTATCTCAGTAGAAATAATTTGTAGAGAAATTCTATTGTGCCCAAGGATAAATTCATCTATCTTCCTCCAAAGTAATAAAATATTCCTATATATGAACAGAATCACTTATTCTTCCCATGGTGTTTTGTGTCTTATAGTCCTCCCTGCAGCCCCTGTGGTGCTGGGGGCTGGACTCCTGCAGGCCAGCAAGTGACCTGCCACTGCGCTCCACCCTCAACCATGGCTTAAAATTCTCTTAATATTAGAAACAATGTTAAAAATAATACAATTTTTAAAAAATGATATTTGTATTGTGCATATTGTGAAGAATATGAAAATTAAAAGTTTTTTGAATTTGAGTCATATAATTAAATTATTATACATTTTAATTACTCCAACATGCCTCACTTTTATGTTTTTAGTATATTTTATGATGTAATTATTACTTCAGTTATACAGCTGATTACCAGAAAATCTCTAGACATTGAAAATACTAGTTGAACAGAATGTAATGCTTCTGCTGCTAAGCACTTACTATATTGTACACTGTGAATATGGGAAAGGCAATTCCTGCCACAGACATGAGACTGGGTTCTAGCTTTACTTCTTCCAGGCCCGTACGCCGCTCCTGCCACTGGTGCTGGGGCCTGAACCCAGGTCCTTTGCTCTGAGCTGCCTCGCCAGCCCATTATTTAGTTCCTAATTTGGGCCAAGGTCTTATTAAATTGCTAAACTGACTACCCTGGTCTCCAACTTCAGACCCTCTTGCCCCAGCTTTCCAGAGTGCTGGAGTAGAAGCATGTACCACCACACCCAGCTTACAAATTTATTTTTTTAGTAAACCTACTAAATTTACCTACAGCATCTTTATAATAGAAACATGAGACATCTTTGTCTTATTTTAAATATATATCAGGTTACGAGTTTTAATCTAGCATAATTTTTTGGTTTATGAATATTACTTTGAAACATTCCATTGTGGTAGTTTTAATTTTTTTTTTACTATTTCTAATATTCTTCTATCATATCCATAGATACTCTGTACTGAGCCTGCTTTGATCTGGACTTGTATCATTGGGATGCATGGATGGTGGATGCATGGATGCATGGATGCATGGATAGAATAGGTTATAGAAAAGAATGCCAACAGATTTATTCTTCCCGGCACTCTTGCATTAATCCCTGCACGTTCATGGAAAATGGGGACCCTAATGTAAGTTGCAAAAGTGATAAAATAAATAGGATGCTTGAAAAATTTTTGAGTCTTTTAAGAACAACCATACCAGAAAAATAATTGAAAACTGACAGCTTCTCTAGATGATTATAAAATTATTTTTCCTTAGAAATAACTAAAACAAAGTACTAAAGTATATTATTAGTCTTTTTGTTTTATTCTTTTGTTATGGATAATACTGACATTAAAGTCAAAGGCCTTTTGGATTGTTTTATTATCGAGGCCTATTGTCCGTTCTCATCCCAAAGTCTGTGTGTCTGTGTATGCTTTTTAAAGCTATTTATTAAGATAGTGGCTGTGGTTAGGACATCATCAGTCAGTACAAAGTAGTGGAGGGCCTCGTACGCAAAGCCTGTCCAGAATCTTCCAATTGACGATAGAGGCCACTGATACAGAACAATAGTGTACCAAGCCTGGGAAGCGTCACATTAAAGATCTGAAATATTTTAAACATAAGTGAGAAAATATGAACAATTTATTCAGAAACGGAACATAGATTATTAAATCACTTTTTGTACTGGTTGTTTTTGAATGAAGATTATTGGTACAGTTTAGATACACACGATGATCACATTCAGCACACGGAACTTGTGCCCGTGCGTGACACCTGAGTTCCTCCCCCCTCTTCAACTCCTCTTCCCCTCCTTATTTACAAAGCTTTGCTTCTATTTTATCCTTCTTTTTTCTCATTTTTTCCCTTACACCCTCTCTGCCCAGTACCCCTTTCCTTTTGAACAATTACTACATATTTCACAGTACCTATTATACATTTGGATTCCTATATACACTTTCCCAAATGCCCATCAACTGACAAACGGATAAAAAAAGATGTGAGCTTTTTATACAATGGAGTACTACTCAGCCATAAGTGAGGATAAACCTGAGACATTTATAGCTAAATGGATGAACCTTGAGACCATATTCTTAAGTGAAATAAATTGGACACATATATATATAAATATCACGTTGTCTCTCTGGTGTGGGATATTAAATCACTTTTTAAAAGAAAATTATTTACCTAAAAATATTTAAAAATTATATAAAGTTTTTCTGACCTTTTTTGTGACTTACTGTTTGATAAAGCTTATAGCCACTCTTCTTTGAATGCACCCTTTTTTGTGTGCATAAAGTAAAATTAGTGGGATTACAAAGGAAACTTCTTATATTGGAATTCAGTTTCCAAGTTGTGGATTCTAGGAAAGCACTAATGTATGTAAATCTTGCAAGTGGTTTTCTGTTATTTCCTAATTCTCTATTGCTGCTATTCAAAGTTATTTTTATCTTAAAGTTAATGTATGGTCAAAATATAGGTGGAAGATCTCAGTTCTTATATCTCAGTCACTGAAGAACCTGCTTTGGCTCTGGATGATTCATGCAGTGCTGCTTTAAATTTTCTCATCAGTAACCCCAAGACTTACAGAAAAATTTCATGTTAAGATCAGTGTCATTTTTTGGTATTCTTCAAAAAATATGTATTCAGAAATTTAAGAAATGCATAGACTGACAGATAGATATGCCTTTGATTATTGTACACATGTACAGAGATAGTATATTAAAAACATGTGACACATTTTTAGCATATTTCTTTCTTATTTTTTTATTTTGAAAATAAAAGGAAAACATTAACAACCATTTACAAAATAGCAAAAGAATACAAACAATACAGAGTTACAAACAAAGTGGTAGGAAATTAACAATGCTTGTTGTATTACATATTGATATCTTCAAAGTGGTTTCTCATGAAAACGAATACAGACATGCAGTATTGATCTATCAAGGACTCATTAACAGTTTCTTTCAGCAAAGAAATAGAAGACAGTAGAACAACTATGTTAACTATCCTGTATATACATACATACAAAATTTCTCCTTCTTTCCCTTCTCTTTTCCCACATCCCAGTTGCTCTTTACCCTTGAGCATTTTCCTTTCATTTCACAATGCCTATCATACCTCCTAGTTTTTATTAACTCTTTCAGGTCTTACACTAGTGAGACAATGCGGTGCTTGCACATGCAGGTCTGATTTATTTCACTCATGAGTATGGTCTCTAGTTGTGACTATTTACCTATAAAAGCCTCGAGTTTATCTTTCTTTATAGCTGAGTATTCCGCTATATAAAAGTACCACAATTTTCTTATCCAATCCTCGGTGGATGGACATTTGGGTAGCATATTTATTTCTAAAGAAAAGTATTCTCTCCAAAATAGCTTATTGAAAAAAAAGAATTGTGATTTTTATACTGAAGTTGACTTTTTCATTTCTTCCTTTGAGCTGTAATTAAATATTTCATATGAATGCACATTTAATCTGTTAATTTGACAGGTTCTGGATACACATATAAAAATATTTGTTACCTTAGACTGTCAACCTCATTCCATTACTCAGACTTAAATTGTTTACAAATTACTTGACCTATGTATTTACCCTATACATTTAAAGTATAAAATAGTTGCAATGTGTGATATAGAATAAGTCCTATACTCACTTTGTAAAGTCATCTAACCTAATGGCTATCGGTCTAGAATTTTATGCCACATAATTCATGTCTTTTAGGAAATTGTGCCAGTTTTTCTTATTTTTCTTTTGCTTTAATTGCTTGTAATTTTTCATTTTCAAAAATAAGATTGAAAGAGTTCATATATAAAGTGAAAGTCCTTTATGAAATTAGTGTCTGCTTTGCTCACTATAATTAAGCATTTTCATTTGTGGTTATAACTGGGTGGGGAGGTCATAACGATATAAATTATACTTTTGAGTATAATTATTGAGTGTAATTATTACTTGAGTTGTGGAACCAAAGTTAATGCTTTTAGAGTTGTTTTACAAATTGTGGATTAGTATTAGAAGACATTTATTGGTCACATTAGGTGTAAAGATATTATAATATGCCCCAGAGACAAAAAAATCAATAATGATAGACTACTTAAATTTAAGCATTGTTCCTGTAACAAGGATTACATTTTAGTATTAGGCTTGTTTATTGCTGAAGAGGTTGTATAGTTTCAGGGTTATTATTTTGATCAGTTAGTGCTGATTCTGCACTGACTGACGCTGGTAGTGCACTTAGATGGGCCGCCTAACCAGGTTTCTGCAGAGCAGTTTCTCTCAGAGCTAGATTTAATTACAGCTACATGCCTTACCTTTGCCCAGTTTTCCTATAAATGCATTCTGATGCTTCTCTTTGAATGTTCAGGTGTACCAGTGCATCATGATTGTGTTAAAAGGCTGTTTATATCTTCATTAATTCTGATTAATACTGATTAATAACTTCAGAGACTTAATGAATGCTTGCATGGTTTTACTTCAGTCTTTTGAAAATATTAGAAAAAGTCATTTAATTCTTTTAAAATAGAGTACATAGTGCACGTGTTTCATGTAGGGAGTTCGTTTTTGGAAGCATTTTTCCCGGGTTATAACAGGGCCATTCCTGTTTTCTTCGCTGGGGCTCTTTGATGACGTAGCTTGGCTCCTTAGAGATTCCTAAGGAACTCAGTGAGAATTGGTCAGAGTATGTTGCGGAACTTTTCTTGCTACTCAAAAACCTTAAAAAGTTACCTTTTCAAAGTCAGTTTGATGCATCATAACCAAATAGCAGAGGGCACTAAAGGTCAACTGAGCTGCTTTGTGACTGACGTTTCAGGGACTGTGAAGCAGCAGATAGACAGCCATATCACAGATCCAGATCAACAGAACAGCGGCCTCTCCCTGAGCGGACCACCGCCCGCTCCAGATCCACTGAGCGTCCCGACTCAAACCTCATGAGGTCGATGCCTTCATTAATGACGGGAAGATCGGCCCCTCCCTCACCTGCCTTATCGAGGTGAAAGATAAATCAATCGGACTCACTTCCCCTTTGCCCCCCAGCACACCATTTTATTTTCCCAACGACTAAGTGGTCTCTTCTGTCATCTTTGGCTGATCGCTAGTAACAGTCAATACTAACCTTTTTGATGTGGACACACTATTTATATTCAGTGGATATAATAGTGTGCGGTGATCATTGTAATTTGTTTATTACCTGTCCTGACTGCATTTGTTTCGTGATTTCTCATTATCAGGAGTCCTGGGTAAATCCCCTCATAACTGCTGTGTCATGTTCTCCTACACAATGAGAAATTGCTTGTGTCCATTAGACATCACTTTTCCAACCATCATAACGACAGTAAACAGAACTACTCTTTTAGTTTCTTTCTGTGCACACTAATAGTCATGTATTAACCAGTGTTTTCTTTAGCAGAATTTTGAAATAGTCAGGGTTTTATTATAGTTTCATGGGATATCTTCTAATGAAGGGATAGTTAATGTAAGCCTGAGTAAAAAAATCTCTGGGTCAAGGAGGAAAGGTTAGTGTTAAAGAGTTTGAAGTCTAGTAGAAAGAAATATAAACTCTTAGCTTTTTTTTTTTAACTGTAGAATTCTCTTCTTGCTTTCATATGGATAGCATACTAATTTACATTCATAATTTCATGGACTTATTGTAGGGTTTTGTGTGCATGTATGTGTGTATGTATGCATATTACACAAAAATATGAACATCTTTTTCTATTTAAATAATCATTCAAATATCCATATTTTGTCCTGTTTTCCTAACCTTTTAATCAGCAGCTAAACCTCTTTTAAAATTGCACTTACACAGCTATCATATCAACCACATGTATTAATGGTGTTTCACTCACTGTGCTGAAAATGAGTGTTGATGATGTATCTTGCAGATCACATCCCCGCACCGGGTCTGTCCAGACAAGCCCGTCAAGTACTCCCTCGGCAGGACGGAGAGGCCGACAGCTTCCACAGCTCCCAGCAAAAGGGACGCTGGAGAGAAGTAAGTGTTCTTTCTGTTCTGTCACATAGGAAACACACGCGGAAGCTAACGTGATTCATGGTGCTCTGATTACCTTCGCGTTAGTTCTCTTCTGTCGTTATTTTATGCTTTGGGTGCATATCACAGAACTTAAATTTATGAATATTATTATATATTTTGCAACTCACATTTATGATATTTATAAGTAAACTATCTTTAATTCTTCTTGCACATTTTTCAAATTTAAATACATGTATTTTAAAAGTGAACTTTAGTCTTAAGTAAGCAGTTGGATGATATTGCTTTGCTGTAATTAAGCTTATGTAATTGCTGATAATTACATAAAGTTTATTAGTAACTAGCTAAATTAATTTTCACACACTGCAAAGGACTGATGTACAACAGTGGTGATCCTTCTCAAAACTGGAGTGCAAGAAAAAGGTAATCATAAATACACAAAGAAAGATGCATGTTGTACTGATGTTTTTAGTCATTTCAGTTTTTCCATAAGAAGCAATATTTGTTGACACACACATGAACGTACTTCTCCAACATTTATAAAGTCTCAGATAAAAGAGCTCTGTACGCATGGATAACAGAATGTAATAATTTTTAGCATCATTTAAAAGGTGAAGTGTATATACATATAGCTATGTATGTTTCAGTCACCACGTAGCTTTTCTTTCATATACAATACCTTCTTTGCCTTTGGAAATTTCTGTTGTTTTAACCCCTGTGCTTTGGTTCCTTTTTTGTTTTGCTTTTATTTTTGTTCTCCCTAGAAAATGGAGTCAAGGAGATAGAACCTTATGAAGGTCTGTACATAAAGGAGGGTTTGTTTTGTGCTGACAGCCTTTCGGAAGGCTGCGCGAGCAAAAGTAACCCAAACTGCAATTGACGTCCTCTCGCTAGATGGTTTTGTGTACAGTAAATTGCTTTGCTTTACGATTTCTGATAAAACGCTCACATCTTACTTGGAAATATTAGCAAGGAGTTCAATTTCTTTGTTTCATCAAGAATGCAAAGAATTTACCTTCTTTTAAATGACTACAAAATATTTCCTCTTTTTAAAATATTTAATTTGCCTTTTAAGAAAAATTTTAGATTTTGTGTAAGAGTTTAAAGATGTCAATTGCAGTCTCTGTTTATGTCATTGAGGATGTACACATAGTCTAGCTGTATTTATTATCATATATTACATCTTGTGTTTATGATGATGTTTAATTGCTAAATTTGGCTTTCTAGAAAAGGAAGTTATTGAATTAGTGATTATGGTTTATATTTCCTGCATTGTTTTTCATGTAGCAAGACTGCTTATAGTGTATCAAAGTTAATATGATATACTTTTATAGTCTTATCATAAATTCTACATTATGACTCAAGACAGAACACTGAGTTGTGATATGTGGACATTTATCAGAGCAATAAAAAGTACTCTGCCAGTAGAATTCTGAAATTGTTGGTTATTTTTTTTTAATGCCAAATCTCTAGCACACAGAATAATGCCTGGTATGTTGTAGGCACTGAATAAATATTTGTTAAATGAATACATGAAATACTTATATAAAAACTGAAAAACCATTTCAGGTAGTGTATCTTGTTGTTCTGCATTTGCTGTACTAAATTTCATGTTGGTAACAAATTTGAAAATGTGTTGCCTTTGAGCAGCAACACTTTTATTCCTTTATAAAACTTGATGTATGTTATGTCCTTCAGGTTATGACTCAATGATTATTGACTACTATTTTGTATACTACTATTTATTATGTACCATAATTTTGAACAGTACTGTTGTAATTAATAGCATATTATGCTGCCTGATAAAATTATCTCAGCAGGATTCCTACAGTCTCAAATTTATTGGCACGAGACTGAAAGGATATAATTTTAAATTTCTACAAGGAAACTTCACTAGTATCTGGGATTTTTTCGTTTTCTCAAAAGGCTTAAAGATCTGAACTTTTTCTTGGTGTATGAAGTTAGAAACATAGCTTATGTCACAATTGTTTTAAAACTTTGGCTTTAATCTTTTATAGCGTAGTCTATCGAGCTATCAATAGCTTCATTCTAATGTAATACTAAATACAGGTATGCCCGAAAACCAGTCTTATTTCTCATACAGAAAGTCAGGATTCATAAAAATGCTATGGGCCTTGCCAACAAACAGTTGTTAACTATTTGTTTTCTCCCTATATAATGCATTAAAATCACTAATTTTCTTTAATATGTCCAACTAGGATTTTTCCATTTTTTGGTTTCATAGAAGAAAAGGGAGTCAGAACTTCATTTGTAATTTTAGTATGAAGTGAAATGGTATTGTTTTGTTTTACGGTTTTTAAAATGTTTTCATATATATTAATATGGAGGTTTCAGCTGATACATAATTTTCTTGAGTTTTAAAACAGATAATAAGTCTCTGAGAGATTTTTAACTTTTAAGTGATTTTAAAGATACAGTTACCCAAAACAGACTATTAGCTGTCAGTTCAACCCAAATTATATTTGACTATCTCCTAAAAAGTTTGTCAGGACTTGTACTCTAATGGCATTACTTTAAAATCAAAATACATATAGAAACGCATGTTTTATAATTCTCTTCAGCAACTAAAATGAGCAAATTCTACTTTAAATCTTTATGATTTTGGTTAATTATTTTATATTTTTAATTTAATTATCCTAAATTCTTATAAATTTTAGTTTTTCCAGTGGTAGTATATTTTGTCATCTTATCTTTGCTGAAAACTTGAGAATAGAGCAACATGGAAAGTATGATATACTTGACTACTCTAAAGCATTGTCATTATTTTACTTTCCCTACAGTGATATACTGCTATTTTATAAAGCTGAAAATTGATAGCATTTTTGTTTGTCCAGCATTGAAGTTACATAATATTATTTTTCTAATAATACACCCAGTTGGTAGATAGGGTCTGCCTACTTTACCTAGTTAACACGTATTGCAAATATTTGAGCCCACAGTCTCTCTCTTATAGACAATTAGCATCATAAAAGAAGACGGTCTGATAATTGATTAACAGTAAACTTACTTGGTTTTCCATCACACGTCTGAAGCTTCTTTAAACTAATCTGTTGGTCCCCTTATAGTCATTATATCATAATTAATGTTTTGTTTCATTTTAAAAAAAGAAATCCTGCTCTCTTGTCTCTCTGGTCTCACTTTGTCTTCATTTTTACTTGTGCAAACGCAGAAGCTCATGAAGAAGCTGTGCATGCGGAGGAGGAGGGGGTGGAGAAACAGGGAGAGGAGGTCAAAGCAGGTGTGTCTGTGTGCTGAAGGGAAAACATTAGCGTTTTACAAGCATAACTTGTCAGTTCATGTAAGACTTCGGGTACCACATTTACAAACCTATAGTAAATGCCAAATTGCCTTTCAGTACTAATTATAAATCATTACTGACTATCTGCATGTTTTTACCTAATTTTACTGATGAAAACATACTATATAAGTTATCTAAACAACTTGCCAGATCGATTTGCCCAGCAGATTGACTTTTTTTTAAGATTTAAAATTTTTAGAGACTATGATCTTTACCCATTTATTATTTCCTAAAATAAAAACAATTAATTTCTTTGTGGTAGTTCTTCCTTCTCGGTCAATATTGCCGTTGTATATGTCAACAATCATAATTTTCTCCCTCCTAAATTGAGAATCTCCCTCCTAAATTGGTTTGCAGACACATTATTTCTAGTGTTTTGTGAACATTCTATGCTTACATATGATTGTTGCCTTTTTGGTTAGAATATTCCCATAAGTATTTTAAAACCGAAAACATTATATATGTATATATTTTTAATCATATTTAACTCTTTTTCCTTGAAACTCAAAATTGAATCCTAATATTTTTAAGCTCTTTCAGGTTTTAAAATTTTAACTCTTTGAGCAGTGCAAAGTACTGAAATCTATTTTTATTACATCTTTAAGCAATTCTCATTTTTATTTGTGAATAGTAAAATGTGTGTACCTTTTTTCTCTTGATCTCGTTGTGAGAAAACAGTGCAGTTCTGTATATTGTGCATGAGATATATTTTCATGGATACATTCTCTAAGTGGAATTTGTAGCTTTACAACAAAAACATCTTGAGCTCTGGTTGCTACTTGAGGCCCAGCAACTTTTTAGTGTCACAAGGATAAGAAAAATCATCAGAGCATATTTGATAAGAGAAACAGAGGCAGTTTTGCTTGCAGAGTGACAGAAACTCACGCTTTCTCTGTTCTGAATATCTAATGTTCTAACTTCTAGAGTTTCACACATCTTCCATTTTCTGGGGATGTGTGTGAGTAAGATTTTTGGAACATTGTAGAATGAATTCTGTTTTCATCTAGCTGAGTGTTAAGCTTTCTATTCACCCATTCTTCTATGTCTCCTACTAGTTTACATAAATACTAAAACTCTTCACACTTCATTAAGTGACACCCACACTGAAGTCATTTTAGGATAGTGTCCTTTTTGGGACTTGATCAGTAGTTAATATTGCTTTAACTGAGCTTTATCAACATTATGAAGTCTACTTGCTGAACTAGTTTGTTACATGTGCCTTTCAAGATTAACCAGTAAATTGTACATGAAATTATCCTAAAAGCATAAGAATAATGTAAAATGGCTCCATTCCTTGTGTTTGTTTTTATTACTTTTCCTATAAGGTAGGAAATATATACTTTACTTCTGTGTTCATTAATGTGGAGTGTCATATTTAGTGCATGGATTGATTGATTTTTCTCGTGTGTGATTTCATCCTTTTGGTGTGCTTTGTTCCTTGGGTTGTTACTGACTGGAATTATTAATCATTGTTGTTTGTTTTTGATGTTATAAAGACAATGAGGGAGAAACACCAAGCCAGCCTAGTAATGGGAAAAAAGGCAAGTCTGGAATAAAATTCACAGTGCTTTTTACGCATTAGATACTGCGATGAGGTTTGCAATGTGCATGAATATACTGTTTAAAAATTAGAGTAAGTGGGCATAAGTATTAGTCCTAACTTACGTTGTCTAATACTTAAAACATGTGTTCTTATTTACTTCTGAATATGAGCTTCTTTATCTTCCTAATGCCTACCTCATTGGTCCTAACACAATCCTTGTTTGTTGAAATTGTATGGCACTGAAGTTGGAAGGTTTGATTTGTTTATCACGTTAAGTGGCAAGTGTCTAAGGAAAATAGTAGTGGTTTTGTAAATACATACTGTGAAAAAATAGCATAGATACTTTTCCATCCAAAAAGTATATTCAAATTGAACAGTTTAAAAGCTAAATTATATCAGCCACAGGGTTGCAGACTTCTAATCCTAGCTCTCTGGGAGACTGAGGCAGGCGAATGCAAGTTTGAGCCCACCATCTGCAAATTAGTGAGACCCTATCTCAAAATAAAAAATAAAAAATGAGCTAGAGGTATAGCTCAGTGTAAAGGCCCTAAATTCAATCCCTAGTACCACAGAAAAAGAAAAATAACTAAATTGAACTGATTAAAAATATTTAAATTAGACTTTTACAGTGTATAATGAAACAATTATGGGTTAATGAACAAAAATAATGAGCATAATAAAGTGAACATATATAGTACAATATTTGTGGATTTTTCAGTTTTATACACATTAATTAATGTATTGCCTAGGCAAGTAAAAAGATTATGATTTTGATACTTAGATTTGTTTTACCCATACTTGTTAATGATCTGTAACCCACCAAAACTAAATTCTATGAAATTAGCATGTATATGTTTTACAGTAATTGATAATCACATATAACTACATGTACTGATCTAGAATACCAGCATTTAAAAGTGTTACATCTTTTGCTC